CCCTCTGAATATCAGGGTTCGCCCAAGCACTTGATTGTTAAAGCCACAGTGTCGCTGTTGTGCACAAAAGCTGTTGGCTTCCATTTGACGCCAGGGTCTGGTTGCTCAAATCTTTGCGCATTTCTGGTCGCGACGAGGGTTCACATAGAAAACTGCCTTCACCCCACACCTGTCTTGCAGAATTGCAAGCAAGAGTCGAACGCACCACTTGGGGCGGCCAACCACCAAAAAGACCCCCCCCCCCCCCCCCAAACAACTCTTGCGCAAATCAATGCCAATGGGGCTGGCGAAACCGGCTGGCGGAAATTTCTGAGAAGAACTATAGCTCTCTTACCCCTGCTAAGCTTCTCCCTCTTTCTCTTTCTCTTTCTGTATCACTTTCTCATTCTCTTCTGTATCTTTTTCCTTCTCTGCTTTCTCCTTCCGTTATGTACTTTATTCTTTCGCGCTCTTCCTTATCTTTCCCTCTCATTCCATGGCTCTTTTTCTTTCTCCTTCTTGCTTTGCGTAGATTGCAATTTGTTCTTTCTCTTTTCATTCCCTTGGTCTATCTTCCTATCTTCCTACCTACCTACCTACCGACCGACCTATCTATCTATCTATCTATCTGCATCTCGAACTATCTACCCAATCATCTATCTATCGATTTATCAACGCGCCCATCTGTCTATCGACAAACATCTATCTTTCTTTCGTTCTTGTCTATCCAACCTTTCTACCTATCTATGTTTCTTTCGTTCTGTCTCTATCTGTCGGTCGGTCGATCTATCTATCTGTTAATCTATCTACCCTAGCTATCTACCTACCTCGCCATGTGTCCAACATATCTATCCATCAGTGCCCTGAGAGCGCTGCGACTGCCACGAACACGAAATCTGTACCTGACCCTTGCGAAAGCGCTGCGCCTGCCACGAAGTCTGCACTTGACCTCGCGAAAACGCTGTGCCTGCCACGACATCTGCCTGCGCTGGTTCGCGCGTCCTTGCCCATGGGATTTGCGCCACGTCCGTGCTAGCATTGACAAAATCCACGCCTCAGACTGTAAAAGCGCCAAGCCTGCCACGAATGCTCAGGGACCGCTCCACACCCGTCCACACCCGTCCACACCCGTCCCCACCGGTTTCGAGACAGTCCGTCGTCAGACAGGCGTCACGACCGAGGAAGCTTCGCCGGAGACACCAAAACTCGCAGAATGTCACTCTTTGTTGCGATTTCTATTCCCCCGCCACACGCCCACGCATGTTTTCTCGAACGCCTTCATTCTTTGCGCAAGACTACCTTCAATAAGTGTCCGTAACACGGAAGTTCATTCTAAATTTCCTTTGATAATCCCGAAGTGGCCAGCCAAAACATGGTCCGAGCCGCACCCCTCCATACATTGCCTATACTTGGGGTTGGGCATACAGTTCACGTATAGGCATGAACAAGTACAAGCGAGAAAACACATTCATGGCTTGTCTTACGCCTGAATCGGTCTGCTCGTATTTGGTGCAAAAACATGTGTGGTCAAACTCCTGTGGGCCATGGCCATGGTTTCCTGTCGAGGACACCGTCTGTAAGGTTGCCCAATTTCGAGGGTCGTGACCATCCCAACCCTAAACGCCTCCGGCTCCTCAGCCACGCCGGCGCGAGGTCCCGCGAGCACCTGAAGCAAACTGAGGCAGCCAGGGGTCCTGTTGGCCAAAGCTCCATTGGGTGAGCATGCAGAAAGGAAGTCCAATGCCATTACCTGAAATCCCTTGAAATCCGATGAGTAAGAAAGGCAAAGTAAACCACTCGATGGCAGCATGAAGGAGAAGTCAGGACAACACCCCCCATGACTGACCCCTTTTCCGCATCCGGAGTCCCATGCACGCTGTCGCTATAATGGCTCTTTGCCCCGGAGCCCTCAACAGATTTGGGTGTGTGATCTCACAAGGCTGTGTGATAATCATCCGTAATTGCCAGGTCCAAGCGACCCAAACGTCTCTCAAGGAGCCAAGTGAAACCACAGCGTTCAGGTTCTCTGGATCTACATTCCAAACAATGCAGGCAAAATGGGATTGAGGCGGTCGCGCCAACTGTAAGAAACCAGCATGGGCAAATCACGAAGTCCCAAATGGATCCCCGAACATCAGACTCAACAGACTCTCTCTTTTGGTGCTGATTTGCCCATCTGCCAGTTTTTGCGCCTAGCACCACATGCCATGAAGCGCGTTTCCGCCAGCTGGCAGTGAGTTTCCACCAGCTGCCATGGTCCTGTGGGCTCAGCGTGGCTGCAGCAAATGGCGCGGCTGCTTGACAGCACCGCAGCAAAGCAGCCCAAGTGACTGAGCAATGCATCCGCCACATGCTTCAGCGAAAACTTCACTGCTTCGAACTTGGAAGCAGACAACGCCCACTGGTCTCGTGAAGATCAAGGGGCCATGGGTGTCTCTCGGAAGTTGCCTGGGCCGACAGCTGCAAAGGGGCCAGAAGCAGCTTTCATTCTGACAAAACAGCCTCCTTTGAAAGACGCCCCGTGGGTCGCTCCATTTCTGAGTGAACCACATCTGCACATGTCTCTCAGGGAGGAAAGTTCACATCCCATTTACCTCTGCCAATGAATCTGCTGAACTTGTGTTGAAACGGCACTGGACAGCCGATGGGAGAACCCGCAAAAACTTGTGAACCCCCCGGACAGGAGCTCACCAAAAGTAGAGCAGTGAACGGACTTCAAAGAATTCATCCTCCAAGTGCTCCATGCAGGATTTAGCGCAGCCTGGAATGCGAGCCAACCCTGCTCGTACTTTGCCGATGTCTAAATTGAAAGGATGGCAACGACTTGAACAACACATGGTTGTCTGTTTTCGAGGGTCCCTTTTTGGGGCGGTTGTTCAGGGGAACTACAAGGAGCCACCTAGTTTCAGTGTCTCTAATCTTGCCATAGGCGTTTCCAAAGAAGGCATCTTATGGCACCTCTTTGTCTAAAACGAATTTCAGAAGCTTTTGATGGCAGGCTCATCGCATCCCACCCGGCCAGCGCATGGTCTGCAAAAGGATACGAACTCAAGGGGGGGAGTATCAGCAAGCGCATGACAGGCCAGACTAAAGGTGCCAAGAAAAGAATGCCTCGCTGCAAGGAAGCCATCAACATCTATGCGCAGGCCGCGGACTCTGATTTGGGCCACCTGAGTGTCTATACCTCGGAACATCCTGCCGTTCTGCCAATGCGCGGAACTAGTGCTTCAAAACACGAATGCCGCCGAGGGTGGAGAAAATGTTGAATGGCCAATTCGCGAATCTTCTGCTCAATGCCAAAGTAGTGTTGGCATACAATGAAAACACTAGCACAGCCTCTGGAAGCCTGGCCTTCCCTCCGCCCCTCGGCGCCCATCTGCCGTAAGCCTAGAAGGGCAACGCCAAATATGAATGGGTGGCATGAAACTGGCCGAAGCCCAGATCTACTGCAAAAGGACACCAAGACATCAGGGCCTTCTCTGGAAATAGACTTCCGACAAGGACCCTCTGACTTTTTCCCGCAAATCAACCATCATGTCCCGAAAACATAGGGCACATTTGGACATCTCGCCTACATGCACGGAAATGGCCGAGTGCTTCGGGCTAGAAGACCACCAGTGGCCCAGCTTGTCGAATGCTACGGAATAGGCGAAGGCATGCGAAGGCAATGGACTTTCTCGGCTGTTGCCCTTCCTCGGGCTACGCTCAGCACAAGCAGCCAAGATGAGGTCACATCCGGCTTCGACTTGTGGCCTCAAGGCAAGGCGCCTTCCGAGCTTGGGAAAATGAAGTGACTGCCTAAGTGGTTCTCTTTTGAGAGGACCGTGTTTGAGGGTTGCTTCAACTGATTGGACAACCCAGGCTGAGATTTGAACATGTCCCGGTCAACGATGGTGATTCCAACAATGGCAACTTGAACAGTCCCACTTCCACGTTGATGTCGCTAGAATGTGTGTATATACATATATATATATATATGTATATATATATATATGTGATGGCAACAAACTGCTCGAAATTATATGGTCGGTTGATAGTAACCCTTTCTGTCATAGGGTTCCTGACAAATCCTCATTGTTGCGCCTCCTCCAAATTATCGATGGTTGACTTTGCTTTGAATTGAAGGCGAAGGCCTTTGCCGGTTCGCCAGCTTTCTAGATAGCCTCTCAGCACGTCGTGGCTAGACTTGGTCGAACAATACAAAGGAAACCCGCACAAAGATAAGAAGCTATGTAGTGATGTTCCAAGACTATTTCAAGTGATCATTTTCTGCAGAAGTGTCTCAAAAACAGCAGGCGGAGAAACTTGCCCGGTTTCACACAGACTGTCAAATGAGTCATGAAGCATTCTTTTTTCGGGAGTGTGCCAACGTTGCCAACACCCAACAACAAGTTTAGCTGTCGCTAAGCAGTTATCTCCAAACGGGGAAACATCAAGCATGCATGCTTTGGCCTTGGTTTCAGTTCTCGCACAAAAGCAGACCCCTTTCAGCAAGAAGGGCTGCATTCAAATGCCTTTCTGCAGCACTCCTCAGTTTTAACCTCCCACCCAACCGCGCCTAGAGCGAAACCCTCGTATGATGGCTTCTCTCGCCTGGAGGCGGAGGGTGAAAACGGCAAATAAGGGGGGAATCCTAATGCGTTGGAATATGAGCCCTCCCTCTCCACCGGCTGACTGGTGCCAGAAAACGGCTCCCCAGTGGTACGACATTTACTCCTTGAATGCCTTCATATGGGGGGTTGTGCGTGTACCGCTGTGATTGCTTTCCTCGGAGAGGCCGTGACAAATGGTCATAATCCATCGCCAACCGGGTGCTGCTTGTGTCTTGAACTAAGGGTTGCTTGAAGATTGACAGGCTAAGGGCAAGCAACAGATCAAACTTTGAGGCAAAGGTAAGCATGTCTATCAGCAAACACCTTGCGGTTTGAAAGAAACGGCGGATCCGCTCTGCGGTCGCTGGTCTACTGGTCTGTTGCCCTCAAAGTGAACGGTCCACAGTGTCCATTGAAATGAAAAGAATCGGACTGGTGGAAGTTGTGCTAGAGCATCTTCTCAATATAAGGCGACGGTCCGACGGAAAAACACAACCTGAAGCACTTGCACTTGCCAGCTGTCAGCGTTCAAAGCAGTCTTTCTTTTCAGCGTGTGCTACATGACTGGTTTGACAAAGAACGCAAGCATACCAGAGCCTACCCCAAGTGGCTGGCCGTGCCTGGAAAGCTGAGCTAGTGCATCAAAAAACAAGCAAAGTGCATGTGTCGCAGGGATGCGTGGAGCAAATCGTTCCCACGGGTACAAAAAGCGCCTGCAATCGACAAGTTGGTTCCAGAAAGGCCAGCTCTTCCCAAAGCGACCGGGGCCTTTGAAAATATCTTTGAACTCGGCGAAGTCAATAACCTCAACTGCGCGAGGCTGGAGTGCTACAGGCTCTTGCTCGCCTCTTCGATGAACCTGTGACTTAGTTGTGGTACATGACATTGATGGCTGCAGCTGCATCAGTGATGCAACAATGGAATTTGAGGCAAGCCATGCTATCCTGCAGCCGGTCAGTGTCTGATTCTGACAGCACAAGCGTCTGCTAATGGACAATGAATTATGGTGGGCACGATCAAATAGTTTTGACTGGAAGGAACAAAGGAACTGCTGAAACTCACGCTCGGATGTTGCAACAAACAATCAATCACACACGCATGAAACGACCTGTCAAACCTGTGTCAAACTGTTGAACCTTCGCAATACACTTGAAGCAATTTGCTTGAAGCTAACAGCTAACATAGTTTGGTATGTTGTGGAGATCTGCAGCACGACTCACATCAACCATGATGCATCTTCAACAAAGCAAGATCTCATGAAAAAAGTGATTCGCAAAACAAAAGAAGTGTGTGTACGGCGTAGATGCCACATGCCATCATGTTCTGGTACTCCAACTATGAAAACATCCCTTCAGCTGATGCGAGTCCTATTCAGTCTTGCGTGCATCCCATGGCAATGGCGGCGTGAACGAGTTCGGCCATCCGCTGTAGAATCAAATGCTTTCTCAGCAACACCGTCTCCGTTGGCGTCAAAGTCGGGAAAGAAATTGGCCACCTCCTCAGGAGTCTGTGCCAAGACCTGCCAAGTGGTCGCGCCCTCACTTGGCTGGGCAGACTGGGCAAAAACCAACAGGTACAAGCTCGTTGGTGGCCGCCGACTTAGCATTCCCAAAGATACAAGCAACCACAAACTGGGAAAGTTTAATTCCGTGCCAATCCCACCAGGTCGGCGCCGGTAGTCGGCATGATGCGACGCAAAGCCCGACAGTGTGGTGCATGCTTCAAAAACCTGAGCCTCTCTTGGGAGCCTCATGAGATTTAGTGCCGCAGCCTTGAAAGAAAGCAAATGAAAGGGGGGACAGTATCTTCACCTCACCCACGTGCACCTTCTTCAAACGAAGGGGTGAAAGGCATGCAGCTTGTCTATTCTGCCCTTCGACACACGGTCGAGGGTTCCGAAGTGATTTGAGCAACATGATTGCGGCCTTTCCATTCAAATCATGGAAGCCCTGCCGGGTGCTGCTTAAAGGCAACGCAAAGGGAAGCCAATCGCATTTGGTGGTCTCCTATGTTGGGCAAACACCATCTGCTCTTGGGTCAGAATTCTTCTGGGTCACCATCCTCACAAGCCCTG